CTAAGAGTGGCAACGCTTCTGTCCATTCTACTATAAGATTAGATGTCTTGAAGATATGACCTATCTACCCACCAGGGGTGGGGGGGATCAGAATCACATCTGACTCAAGATGTCTCACCCATTATGGGATAAGCAGAGAATAGTAGCTCAGAGTGCTTCTTAAAGCATTTATCATGTGGGTAGATATTAATTGATTGCAGGAGAGCAGAAGTGTCTGTCAATGGCTTGAAGGGTCTGAAATCGCCTTCCCAATGAGGCATGGAGAGATAGTCTTGACTGAAGTCTAGAGCATGGATAAGCTCACTTCATCTTTAAAGCAGTTTCATATCACTGAACAATGCAGGGAAACCACCTCAAAGCTATCTTACTCTCTCCACTGTCATCTCTTCAAGCTTGTTGATTGGAATAGGATGGAGGAGTGTAGCAAATGTCACGCGAACAACAGCACCACATTTTCTTGGGTGCTGGGTGGATGAGTTGTGTTTGGCCGGTGGTTTTGCCATTGGACGTGTCAGATGAGTGTCTGCCTCCACTTGAGACTCGCTGACTTGGGGATTGTGTTTGTAATATGGCTGGGTATCCATACAGATGTCTCAATTCGATTCATTAGGGTACATTTGATTTATGTCATCCTGCTTACATATGAAATAAATTCTCTCTCTGATAAAGCTGAAAATTTGACAGTGTTTCAGAAAGATTTAAGTGGCAATTTATATTTTGTACTGTTCATTGACAACTAGCTCATGAGAGTTGATTGGGTCACTCACGCTGTATGTTTTTGATTCACTAAAAACAACCAGCTCATGAGAGTCGTTTGTTAATGTATCGGGCCACAATGGTCACCCTTTATGTTTCTGATTCACTAAAAAGAACTAACTAGTGAAAGACGTTTGGTAATGAATCGGGCCGCATTGGTCGCCCTGTATGTTTTTGATTCACTAAAAAACAACCAGCTCATGAGAGTCGTTTGTTAATGTATCAGGCCACAATGGTCACCCTTTATGTTTCTGATTCACTAAAAACAACTAACTAGTGAAAGACGTTTGGTAATGAATCGGGCCGCATTGGTCGCCCTGTATGTTTTTGATTCACTAAAAACAACCAGCTCATAAGAGTAATTTGTTTGTCAATCAGACTACGTTTTTGCATCAAGCTCAGTAGATGTTTTGTGCAGTTATTTTGCAGTACACAGTGATTTAATATCACATTAGTGGACCAGTGCAAGGTTTCTGAAAAAAAAAAAAACACAATATACGTGAAATCTATAACTGAATCACTCAAATACCTGTAACACAGACTGAATATCACTGGATATTGCTTTATTAACAAACAATGTGCTCATGTTACAAGCAAATATCAATATAAATGTTGTCCCCCCATTATATGAGAATGCAATTTTTACATACTTTGGAAGAAAGTTGACACCTAGTGTGCTGTACATAAATCAGAACAGTAAGTAGGTCACATGTATAGCGCACTGACAGCTGGCCTGAACTCACAGTGTTAACATACTTGGAGAGCTTGAAATTGTGGGTTGATAAGACAGTGTGGCCTGTCCCAGTGTTGTGGAGATAAAGTCTGTCTCACATTCTCCCCTCTTTACCCCCCCTCCATCATACCCTTCTCCCTCGCCTGTCTTTTGTCTATGGCGAGATTCCATGCAGCTTTTTGACATGTTAAACAAGAGTTGATGTTGCCAAAGAATTAATAAATAGTTCACAAACATACACACAAACATGGATGCAGATGAACATTAGCCTGCAACAACACGTTGGCACAAAACACTTTCTAAGTCTTACTGAATCAATTTCTGATTGATTTCAGTAATTTATACACTTTGGGGTTTTGGTTCTGTGTATATTATAATTAATTTGAACATAAATGTGACTCCCCTCCTTATGTACATAAGATCATGATGATCATGTTTGTAGCTACACACTCACAATTTTATATTTAAGGGCTATTAATAGAAAAACTCAATATAGAAACCCAGAAATGATTTTATTTTCTGTATATCTACACTAATTGCCATTTTCTTTCATTTTATCTTCATTGTTTTCCTAAGTGTTATCTTTGTTTGGATGTTCTGCACACAACCTCACAAGCTTCTCACATGGGCAACACCATGCCACTGTTTGTGGACTGATACCAGGAAACCTCCCCCTGTTCTCAGAATGTCAATCTCATCTTTTTCCTCCACGTTATGCACTTAAGGACTTGTTTGGGGACTTTGTGTCCATGGCGCTAAATCTCATCCCTTCTTTAGCACAAACTATTAGTACCCATGACAGGGGTGTGCAGCATTCAGTTCACTGTTCCTAGTCAAGATAGCAGTTTGCCCGCTGCTATCGCTGTACTGATGTAGTCCTATGACTTCCTGTTTATGCTTTTTTTGTGTGGCTCAACTTCATTGCATTTATGCTCCTTAAAAAGATTCCCCATAACAGGTCTGACCTACTTTGCCTAGTCTGAAGATGAATATGTTTGCAGTAAAATGTTACGCATCCGAATATGATAGCTGTGTAAAACCCAGTTTGTAAGTTTGCCACTTGCATGAACAGTGCAGCATTATGTTAGCAACTTAATGCCAAGTGAGAGTACGTGTGAGTTTGTTTGATAGAGAATGTGAAAGACTGTTTTTAATGTGCACGTACAGTGCGTCTAAATGTGCGTGCTCATGACCTGCGGTTCACATCCAAAATCCACAATAACAAACATAGCTCAACTCTGCAGGAGACACTTCATAATGTTTCCCAGACTCACCCTTCATCCACCCAGCCTAATTGATGTTTCTGCCCTCCATTTCCTTTGCTTTGCACTGTCATAATGTCAGTATAAGAAGCCTGACTATAAATTTCAAGCTCAGACACTTTCACTAACCTCACCTCATTATACATCATTCCATGTAAACCCTTTCATAGACAAATCCCACAATGCCCACATGTTCATAGCTCCGAGCTGCACATCTCTCAGTCTCTCACTCTCATTCTGGGTGCTCCAGAGGGGCCACGGGGGCATCGCTTTCTCAGGGCCCACTGCGGCACTGGCACTGGCATGCCTGCTAGAGTCCAGCTGGGTCTGAGATGGATGGCAGAAAAGGCTGTATTGACTGAAGTGTGGGAACAGGGGCTGTATGTGCTTCACTAAAATCTGTGACTGACATCACTGGCAGGCTTTGTGCAATGACATCATGGTCAGACCCCATCCACAGTCTAGATGTTTGAGAAAAGAGTTTTTTGAGTGCTCCAAATTGAAATACTATAAAAACAGGAACACCGTGGTGATGGGGTTTCAGTCTTTCTCAGCACTAGAGGTCTGTGTTGTGTTTTATACCAGTATATATCACTAGAGGTCAGTATTACTTGCCGTGTCTGTTTAAGTATATCACAGGAACAAAATATCAACGAGTTTCCCTGTCACCATATGAAATAAAATGTAATTTTCAAGAAATGTTTATTTTTAAGGCCCCCTGCCCCAGCAATAGTGTTGTTGTACTTCTGTCTTTTTTAAGGATTCAAAAGTGAATTGATGAATATATATGATGAATCGTTAGCCTACTGGAGATTAATTTAAAATATTTTAAATTTGCTGAGAACCCCTACATTATCCCAGATATCAAAAAAATCATTTTTGGGTTAAAAATGTAATTTAAAATTTTAACCCAACTTCAACTTTCACTTTCAACTGTAATTTTTTTATTACATTTTTAACCCAACATTTGGGTTTGTCCATATTTGACCCAAATTTGGGTTGAAACAACCCAGCATTTTTTAGAGTGAGACACGTTGCAGGTGAGCAGTAGGCCTACGTCTTCCAAAATACGTCTTTCAGATGAAACACGCACATCAAATCTCCGCGATGTGCGTGTTTCATCTGGAAGACGTATTTTGGAAGACGTAGGCCTACTGCTCACCTGCAACGTGTCTCACTCTAAAAAATGCTGGGTTGTTTCAACCCAAATTTGGGTCAAATATGGACAAACCCAAATGTTGGGTTAAAAATGTAATAAAAAAATTACAGTTGAAAGTGAAAGTTGAAGTTGGGTTAAAATTTTAAATTACATTTTTAACCCAAAATTTGGGTTGGTCCATATTTGACCCAAATTTGGGTTAAAACAACCCAGCATTTTTTAGAGTGTTATGAGATGTTTCCTGTCAGATGTTAAATATACATTAGAAAATGTCTTTAAGAGGCTTATGCTCTAGAATGTATGTAAAACTAACTGACCTTTTAAATACATTCATCAGATACACAGCAGATGCTTTCCAGACAAAGTCCTCTTGATAAGACATCTTGGAGACGTACGTGTGCGTATAGTGTTTATATAGATCTTTGTTGAGACAAGAACCAGACAGCAAGTGTTGGCCCAGATCCGGGCCACATCTGGTACAAGTGTTCAACACGTAGCCTACCAGATCTGGGCCGGATCTGGGCCAACACTATGTTGCTGTCTGGGTAGGGGCTAGCCTTTCTGTTAGATTATTTTCTGCAGAATTATTATAATAGACTAGCCTAATTTATTTACAGTGCAGCTGTCGCATATGTTGAAATTACAATTAATTAATGCAGCGTACAGATCGCAATCGCAACCTTGTTTTACCATGTAACACTTATCATTTACGAAAAAGAAGAGTGTATATAGCCCTAATAAAACACGGCAGTGTTCCTGACTGCTTCCATCTGTCATGACTGAAACCTGAAGTTTCGCAATAAAACCTATCGCAATAAAATGACGTCAGAATATTGAATATGCACCTCTTACGTCCAGTGATTCAGTAAAGTATGTATGACACTAGTTTTCAAACACAACTACAATGTAAAAACATTTTGTACCAGCTCCGCCTGTCAGAAAATGACTGGTAGATAATGGGTTAACGGGCCGAGTGTTGCAGACGGGGCGCGGCCATCAGCCGCGATGGATTTGATTGGCTGCCAGTCACAGTGCCATGGATTCGGGGTGAGTTCAGTTTACGTGACGCTCAAGTAGGGGCGTATCATTGGCGAAATCAGCTGTAGAAACAATAACACGCCAACGACGCCCCAAAATGAGAGCTTACCTATAAATGTCAGTAATTTCAGGAGAAAGAGGCATCTTTGACAGACTGAGGATAGATGTAGTGCACTTCACGGTTGTTTTCCACTGCATTCTGCAAACTTGTTTCAGGGGATCTCTTTCAGATTAGCAGAGAAGGCGAGTGTGAAGATGCTGCCTTTGTGTCAGCCGTGACACTCCAGCGAGTTAAACACAAACAGTCGAGAGTTTTTCAGAGACGTCTCCGTCATTTAAAGGTTTGATTTGATCTCCTGCACCCGGCTTAACGGGAGCTAGGAGGAAAACACGCGAGGACTGGCATGTGGGTCAATTCTGGAAGCGTCGGAAGGTAAGGTGAATAAATTTCACTTTGTTTTACCTCACGACAATCATGCAGCATTTGCGGATTCTTAGTCACGGTTGCATTATTGCACTGAACGCTGCATCAAAACTGACTTGTAAAAACACACTAACGCCCATCCTTAATATAATGCTTGATGTTGGAAACTTATGGCAAGCTGTTTTCACATTCATTCAAAAATAACTTCATTCATTCATTCATGCATACATGTAGCTAACCTGCGTAGGCTATTTTATTACTGACTAGGATCTATTCAGTTCACACTCTATTCACTCTCACATTACCATTTCCACTATGGTTCACATATCAGCTATTCACTGTTTAATAAGTTACCTTTTTACTATGTGTTCACCATGTTTATGATATAGGATAGATTTCCCATTTTTTATCAGTAACATTCTCTATATCACTAGATGTTGCTATTTTATAATTGATAGAATCTATAGAATTGCTACTTTATAGTTCAATGAAAACTCTTACAATGTGACTACACATGATGCGCCGCATGACAAAGTGACCAATGCAAAACCATTTGTCCTTATTGGCAACATTTATGTGTAGCCAAATAATCCAATAGTAATCGGATTGACGGCTAAATCGGAATGAAAAGCCATCATGTAAACAACTTAGGCTAATCAACCCGATTGAGCTCAATCTGAATGAAATTCCGATCAGATTGAAAGGGTCGGTTTATTCCTTTTCTAATCCGATCAGAGAGAATGTAAACACTTGATTGTATTGAAAACTGAAACTGGAAAGGATTGCGCATGTGCAATGACGTAGAAATGGAGCAATGACATATGACGCACGAAACGAGCTGCAGTTGTTGTTAAATAAAATGTCATAAATGCTATTCTAAATTTCTCCTACCACTCATCTTCCGTGAAGTGGAGCAGAACAACATCCCATCAATCCTCACCTCATACTCTTTATTTTGGGCACGGGAAGGGCGTTTTTAACTTTGTGATAAATATAAGCAGCATGGCAGACTGGTTCATGTTCATGTGCTCCTTGTCTCCAAATCAGGACCTGAAATAGAAAAATAAACGGTGAGAAACTATATTCATGCAGTATGCGCATGTCAAAAATATATATTCTGATTGGAACCTTGTGACAGAAACGCGCACATCAACCCGATCACTTTATTTATCGTCCATGTAAACACTACGTTCAGATTCATCATTCGGAATGAAATAGAATGGGGCATCAGTTTACTGTTTTGGGATTTGTGATCATTTGTCAATATTGGCAGTGACTAGTAGCAAAGGAATACGTACTAATGAAATATATGCTTGTTGCTATTGGTATAATTATTAGTATAGTGAATAAGTACTACTATATAATGAATAGTTACTAATAAAATTGAAAAAAATGTTTTTTCTACTCAAGTACCAGTAGCATAACAATAGTTAGTCTTAAAGAATAAATGGCTTGCCACTGGAAGTGTGTCTTTGTATCACGTTGCGGCTGCTGAAACTCTCCACCTTTTTCGCTTTGGCCAGTTTGTTGCTATGCATCTTCTCAGTCTTCATAGTACCGTGTTTTATTTGTGTATGTATTCATTTTCCACTGCACACTCCACACATTCAGTGGCGAGCATGGGCTTGGCTCACCTTTTCTTGCATCTTTTTATCTCTCTTTCTTAAATGAACTCACATTTAATTCACTGGCATTCTCTTTCATCTTAAAGCGAGAAATCCTCTCACTGAGAGAATTCACTACTGGTTTATATTTCTCAATGAAGCACATTCTGAATGGGGTGCTGAATTAGGGCTTCATACAAGTATGAATGGGGGTTTGTCAATGGTCGGCCACCCCTACATATTTTTACACAATACTTTTACACCTGATCTAATCACAAGAAAAGATCTTGAGCATTTGAATTCCCTGAAATTCCAACATAATGCATGTGTTTTTTTTTTGGCTTTGCATGCATGAGCCAAGTTATCCCGCTAATGCTATTGTGAGATCTTACTGACTCTTTGTCCATTATAATCCAGGGACAAAGTGAAGTGTTTTAGTCTTTTGCTGATTCAGCAATCATTATTTTATGATGTGATTGTTAGGCTATATTATTCAAACATTGCTTGTCAGCAATAAACTGCTGCTTTACACTCATTACAAACTGCAGTTAACATCATGCTCTGTCATGCTGTTCAGAAATTGATAACACAAGTGTGGTGTTCTTTCGCTTCTTTATGCTCACCTTATCTGACAATATTTGATCAGAATGACAAGTGCTGCTAATCATAAAACAAATACAAATGTTGTGCGATCATCCATAGCAAAAATGCTCTTAGATAAGCCACCCCTATCAGCGCTATTTGAATACATTCGCTTTAGCTGGTCCATTGAGAGCTGAAGTCTGGGGACTCTACCTTTCCTTTTTTTCTCCATGGGCTGACTTTAATGAGTCTCTCATTGCTGAGTTTGCTCTCAAGGGTAAAGGTACAGTTGTATTTATAGTGCACATGACAGCTTAGGTCCATAGGACTCATGACGCTTGTAGTCCATGTGGGGCACTGTGCTAAATAGTTAAACTCTTTTTGAAGACTTAATTGGTGGTTCACTATTATCAGCTTAACTTGTGCACATCTCGCTGTAATTACTACTTTGTTCTTGCTGATGTGAACTTGTTTGAGTATAGCATGGAGGACATGAGTGTCAGTTGGCTGCAGTTGCGATCAGTTTAAGGATCATCGGAAAATACTTGCAAATATATGGCTATATGTATAATATTGCCTCCAAAAAGTATTTGGGCACTTTTGAGCATTTAAGTTGCACTATTTAGGAAAATATAAGTAAATATCAAACCATCTGGTATGCAAACTAATGATGCTAATGCTTTCTCAGAACTAACTTCTCTTTTCAGAGCCATTTTCAATTACTTTTAACCAACTGATGTCAAGGGGATTTTTTGCAAGTAGAGTCGGAAATGTTGTCATTTCAAGTTCTAACTTCTGAGCATGTAACAGAGTTGAAAGGGATGTATCGATTTGGCATATTGCAGAAACACTGATCTGTATTATAGAGAACATCATAACATATATCTATAATAATCTGTTGAGAGCGAAAAGAAAGCCTGTAGTAATTTATAATGGCTAATTATGCAAGTTATTTTAAATTTACATGTTGTATTTCAATCAATTTAAAGGTGTGGTGAATGGAGTGATATAAATTTAGTTATTTGAGTTTGTTCATAATTTTGTTTTGTTTAGGCTTTGTTTCTAACTTGAATGGGTGACGTCATAACCAAGGCCAAAATCGGAGGTATGAATTTCCCAGGTGCAACCTAACAGATTAATTTTGTCCAATGTTTTGCTTGAAAATTGTGTATCTATGTGCTATAGTTCTTTTAAAACCAGTTATCGATTATTAACAATCGGTTATTTTTTTGTTATAAAATGCAAAGACATTCATACATTAAATGGGACTTAAGCATCCAGCCACTTTTTGTGGCTACTGCATGTGAAGTAAATAAAACGTCCCTGATGCTATCACACTGACAGTAGATCTCAGTGATTCAGTGGTTAATTCCTCCATTACCCCCCAGTGACTGATGGCATTAAGGGGAAAGATCTAACTCATTCTCTGGTCTGAAGGACTCAGCACTCTGAACGACTTTGTGGCCTGGCTATAAAATGTCATTGATCCACTAAGAGACATTGACTCCTCGCAGTACAAAGGCATGTGGTGTAAGACACTTCAAGGTTCTATGCTGCAGTGGTACAGTTTGCTCAATGCTTGCTATTTTGAATCAGCCTAGTATTTGGAAACACTGTAAAACGCTGCTCCACTTTAACCTGTTAACTGGCAAGCAGGAGACCACCACGTTACATAAGTCGTCTGTGCTCATGGCATACCCTGTGTTCACATGTCCCCTCTATAAACACTTAAAATATGTGTATGTAAACACCCATGCGGACACACTCAGGGCGAAACACTTGGCATGATGCATTGATGGAAAATACAGAAATTAGGTCACTATGATAGGCAGGGGTTAAGCCAGTGTATGTGTTAATATGGTTTGGGTTGATTTAGTTTGTATTGGATTTTCTTTTTTTTTAAAAGGGAAGTCTGGATTCAGTGTAAAGGACGGGGGCTTGCAGGTGCTCTCTAAGAGCGAGGCTTAATCGTGGATTCTGGCTATGTGACGGCAGAGAGAGCAGCCTTTGCCACTGGAGCTGTTATGTAACACAGACACAGTGCAGGAGGGGTGGGTGAGCAAGTCTCCGCTGTCCAGCTGTCTTGAAAAACAGCTGTACAGAGAGAGAAAGGACAGTCAAACTTACAGAAGAATACTCTAGTTTGAGATTTATCTCATGAGGAGATCCTGAAAATGTTTCATTTGAATCCGTAATTCAATTTTAGTGGTTGCCACTTGAAATATGTGGAGAGTGCTCTACTAAGTTATTATAGCCTACCAAAAGAGTTTATTGTCCATTAACTGCCATATTTGCTTGTGGGTTGTAGTTGGTCCACAATGCTGTGATATTCTTCTTTCTACCTACATATTTAGATACACACACACACACACACACACACACACACACACACACACACACACACACACACACACACACACACACACACACACACACACACACACACACACACACACACACACACACACTCACACTGAGGCTGGCAGGACTGAATACAAGCAGACGAACTGTTGTGTGGGCCGTACAGTGTTTGTGAATGGAGTGGGCGTCTGCCACGCGTCTCATCTCTCTTTTTCTTTCTTTCTCTCTTGCTCATTCTCAGACCTCACCTCCCACTGTTTCTATCACTGCCTGTCACTAAAACAAGCGCTAGTGTGGCACACTGCTCGTCTCATTCCCCATGACAAAACACTGACTCACTCAACTGACTCTGCTAAAAGCTTCATGAGACATCCATGTCACTGGTATCATTGCTTTACACATTTGTTTGTTGCGTTTGTGTGTTACAAACGAAAACTATGCTCAGTTCATAGATATTCTGAC